CCATTAAAGTCTTACTCTTAATTCTTCAATCTAGCATGGAGGTGATCTTGAGTTCTCAAATTCTATGTCTAGAGAATGCAAAATCAGACAGGTCCTACTAAGCTGGAAAATGTTCTAACTTTAAACTTGAAGATGGCAGACTTTATCTACTCTAGGGCTTCTTAAACTTTTTCCACTCGCAACCCCTTCAGTGTTTCTTAAACTGTGGGTCACGATCCCATATCAGGGAAGTTCATAACCAGAGAAAAGACTTCCAGATAACAAGATTTTGGGTGCACAGCATTTCAGGTTCCAGTAATAGGTGAACAAAATTAGTATTTGTGGAAGGAAGTACAACCTTGTCAAAGAAATCAAAGTCCCTGAGGTAGTAAAATGCTTGACTGAATCCTTGAGATGCTGAAATCCTAACATAGCAAACCACATTTTCCAAATAACTTTCATTACAACCACTCTGCATTCTCAGCTTCCTTAAATGTAAATTAAGGAGTATGGACTAGATGATCTCTAAGGCTCCTTCTAGCTCCAGAGTCCATGATTCTCCCATTATAATTTCAGATGTTTTCTGATGGAAAAAAAATTGACACTCTCACCCCAAACAGTCAAAATCACAGTAAAGAATCCCAAAAATCTCTTTAAGGACTATTCTGTTTTGGGTCAGTGTGCAGCCTGCATGTACTTAATTCTCCTGTACAACCCCTGCAGGAAAAGTTAACCTAATGGACAATCAATCCACATAGCTATTGCACCTTCATTACAAGCAGACATATATTAAAATACACCATGTTGTTAATTCTTATTTTCATGGGCATTCTCTTTGACTTGAATGTTTAAGCAGCCACATAAGCAAGGCTATTCCTCCAGGTATTCCCTCATTAACTGAAAGAGCCACATAGAAGCACTTAATCTTATAAAATGGAGCCAGAGCTAGTGAACTATATTGCATTGACATTTCGGTGTTATTGTCTCTTTAAAAAATGCCCCAACCCTTGCTTTGCCTACTGTTTTACTCTTTAATCACTGCCATAATAAACTGCTGATCTATTAAATATATTTTTATTTGATATTGTCTGTTACCAGTAGACATTAATCAAAGCAAAGCTCTGAACATGTTTGGGAATTTTTCCCCATTTAAAGTGATCCAGGACTAAGTTTAGCCTTCTTTGCCTCCAATTAGGAGGAACAAAATGTACCCATGTAAGGCATTCAGATACAGAGAAGAATCATTGCCAATAATTTATGCTAAAATAACAATCACAAAAGGGGAAGAGTGACACAGAAGGCTGATATGATAACAACAACAATAACAGTGGTAATATGTTACATTTATACACTATAGTGCTTTCAGTTTTGCAATGTACTTTACATATATTTTCTAATTTGATCCTCACAACAACCCCATGAGATAGGTGCTCTTATTATTTCCATTTTACAGATGACAAAACTGAGGCTGAAGGAGGTTAAGTGACTTATCCTGTGTCATGTAGCTCATATTAGACTAGGAGTCAAACTCAGGTCTCCCTGATTCCAAGTCTAATCCTCTTTCCACTATACCAATTTTTCATATCCTTCTTTTGACACCTGCAGTAGGTATATATCTATACTGTTTGTGTCCATACTGATGACTTGATATCTAAACATACCATATAAATTTGGTTGCACCTATGAGTTTGGGTCCGCTGGGTGCACAGTTATAAGTATGAGGCCAAACTTTGATAGCAGAATAGACAGTTGAATGGATGATTTTTAGGTGAAGAAGAATTGAAGAGCTGAGGGGGAGAGGGAGTGTATGGAAGAATGAAAACAACTGTGGAAGAAGTGAAAGGAGTGATGTAGAGAAGGGCAGAATAAAAGGAAACTTTGAAGGGTAAGACATGGAGGTGTTCATGTTCTTAGAACAACATATAAACATTTATGCTCCACTTTGATGTCTCATCCCGGCACAGAAATAAGCAGGGATTCTCAAAAGTTCTGACTAGCCTTACCAAACAGAGTAGACTTTGAGTCTGAGCCCGGGGTCAGACTCTGGATATCTTTGGGCTCACAACCAGCCAAGCTAAATATAGAGAGATTCATCACCATATAAGCTATAGGTTGCTAATTTTTTTTGGCAATAGCAGTTATCAAAAACAATCTAGAAAGTCATAGCAGAAAGAGAAATTGAAGAAAGCATAAACAAAAAAAAAGTCAGTGGGGTGGGGGTGGGAGGAAGCCTGATCCAGGTGGATTTACAAGTAAATTCTATCAAACATTTAAAGATCAAATAACTTCTTTCTCAGAAACAATTTGCAAAATGAGTAAAAGGGGCACCTTATCACATTGCTTCTTTGAGACAGATTTGGTCCTGATATACAAATCAGGGAGAGATGCAATGGACAATGAAAACTATAGATCAATGTCATGAATGAATATAGATGGGAAAATATTAATAGAAAGAACATTTATGGAATATCTACTGTATGTGAAGAATTGTACAGTACAGATGCTTGGGACAAGGTATATCAAAGGAATAGAAAACACTTCTGTCTTCAAGACATAGTTGGTACTACCGGGATGGGAGTCAGGTAATCTCATTTTGAGATATACTGGAGATTTACTCCAGATCTACTGCTAAGAATTGAACTGTATACCGTGCCTTCAATTTTTTCATCTGTAAAATGATAGGGTTGAACTATATCATGTCCAATACTTCTTCCAGCTCTAAAATACTATGAACTATCTAGACCATGGTCCTTTTGCTTAATAGAAATATTCAGTAGTAAATATGGTTAATGTATATTGTTCAGTAGAAATATGCAGTTAATAAATATTGTTCATTTATTGTTTAATAGAAATATTCAATGATAAACATTAATTTACATTCATATTTAGTTGCTATAACATTGAAAATTATAATCAATATAGTACTTTTAAAAGTCATAAACCTACATCTCTTCTGTGACATTTAATGTATTTGTTATTTTCCTCCCTGAAATACCAGCTATTATGCTTATTATGAGGGAAAAAGAAATAGTCTTCTGTTACTCAGTCCTGATGAACTGAAACTTACCTCTTTTCATTTTCCCATGGTGATCTCACCTACTTCTGTAGTTTTAATTATCACCTCTATGCAGATGATTCCTAAACATCTATGTCTAGCTCCAACCTCAGCCCTAAATTTGTATCTCCAGTCACCCAGTCTTGAAAACTTAGTCATCCTTGACCGCTTGCCTCCCTCACTTTCTCACATCCAGTCAACTACTGAAGTTCTGTGTATGTCTAGAATATCTCCTCTATCTCAGATCCAGCTTCCCCTCTTCCTCTTCTTTCCAATCTCATTCTGACCACTCTAGTTTAGATCCTTACCAAATTGTCTCAGTTATTTTAGTGGCCTCCTAACTGATCTCCATGGCTCCAATATAGCCTCCTCATTGCCACCAGAGTAATCTTACTAGCGAATTACTCTTTTCTAAAACCTGCAGTAGTTCTTCATTGCCTGCTGAAAAATAACCAACTTTCTTAACCTGACATTCACAGCTGTCCACAATCTGCTTCAAATTTCCTTTTCTAACCTCATTTCACATTACTCCCCATCATATTATTCTGGACTATTTAACATTTCCACTGAATTTTGTTTTCCCTTCCCACCTCTCGTCATACTGCCTCCTAATGATTGCAATGAAATATGCCTGCATTTCTGCTTGTAGAAATCCTTGTCTTCATTTCGGAACCAGCTCAGGCACCACTTCCTCCATGAAGCCTTCCCTGCCCAAGAAGTGACTTCTCTACCCCACCTTGAATCTCTAATACCATTCTCTGCTGTACAGGAAGGTCCCGATTAGTACAAATAATGAGTCCTCCGAAGTGTTTACATCATTCAGATTCACACTACATATTTTCATTGGGCTGGACCAAATGACAGTATTTGATGTAACTATAACTTTAAAATTATTAATTGTAATACATGCAACCACTTCGAAGGATTCATTATTCACACTCCTCAGGACCTAGATGTCTTCTTATCCATACTTTAGCCTGTTTTATGGTTACTTGTATATGCTTCTTACCTCTTACTAGTTATGAACTTCTTGAGGGTAAAATGTTTGTCTTCCATATTTGTGTCTGCTAGCGTGCTGCCTTGCAGAAAGCATGTGCTTAATGAAACTGTTGAACTGTAAGCACACTTCTCATCTCCCCCAAGCAGGGAGGTAAGGACATCTCTTTGGCTAAATAAAGAGGATGTCTCTATCTTAAAAGGGATCAGCTGTTGCTTTTGTGTGTGTTCAGATCTGGAAATGAAAGGCACAAAGTAGGATTCACAATCTCATCAGTAAACTCTCCTGCTCACCTCTAAGCCAGAAGTATATTCTAAATTATTGTGAGTTGTACTAAAACTCTGGTACTGTGACATAAAAATGAAATTATCTTCGGCCTCCTTGTAATCTCACAAGTGAAATTGTTTTGCCTCTCTACATACAGTATTTATATTGATAAACTGAGAGGTTTAATGTGAGCATCTTATCATAAAACCAAGCATCTCCTCTATCACTCCAGCATATTTACAAAACAAAACTAATTGAATCAAGTAAAACTGTCTTTTGCATTCTTTGACATAACATGTATGCATTATTGGAGTGTAGTCTTACAGAACTATTGCAGTCCATAAAACTTTCCCTTACCATATTCTTTCTTCTCCCATAGGCTCAATTCAGGTGAGACTGAGAAAGGATTTCTGTTCTAATAAAGATAAGAGTGTCCTTCATGCATGTGCTTTAGTTTGAGCTTGGATATTGTCATTGTTTATTAGGAGAAATGGAGCACATAGGTGGATTAGGAAATTCAAGGGGTTGGTAATGACAGAAAAGAGATTTGGAAGGTTACTCTGTTTTTGAAAGGAAGCAAAGGAAATGTAATGTCTTTTTTTTTCCCCAGGTCAACATGAAAACTGTTTATATAAGTCTTTTATAAGTCGACTGTTAAATATTTCCCATGTCACAATATTGTGTTTTGTTTTACCTTCTCAGGAGATGACCCATTCCTGGCCTCCACCTCTTTCTGCTATTCATACACCTGGTAAATTAGAACCAAGCAAGTTTTCATTTCCAAATAAGGTGAGACTTTACATAATTCAGAAGTCACATGCTTTAATATAACTGAGTGCTATATTTTTTATGCTCTAATCTTTGCTATTTCTATAGAGGTAGTAGTATCTTTCCTTAAATAATATCACAGGCATACATTTATCCGCACCAAAATTGTAAAACTTGAACTTGAAGCCTTATTTATTACGTAAAACTTGCTGGTACTGTGCAAAATATCATGAGTACTATAACTGTTGGCAAATTTAACAGCATAATTAATAGTTATTCAAATAATTACTAATTACTAATCTCAAATAATGGTTAATAATAGCTAGCATTTCTATAGTGCTTTAAGGTTTGCAAAGTACTTTATAATTATTATCTTATTTGATCCCCACAACAGCCCTGTGAGGTAGGGGCTGTTATTATCCCCATCTTACAGATGAGGAAACTGAGGCTGAAAGAGTTTAACTCACTTGTCCAGGGTCACACACTTAGTAAGTATATGAGGCCACATTTGAACTTAGATCTTCCTTACTCCAGGCCCAATTCTCTATTTACTGTACCACCAGCTGCCTACCATATATTTATATGAATATTACTTGCAAAGTCACACTTTTATTTTCTGATTTCTTTGTTTCTTTTTTTTGTACAAACTTTGCACTAATTTTAGTGTTTTCATTTTTGTATGTGTGTTTGTTTGTGTGTATAGATACACACACATAATTGAAAAAGACAGTGTTGAAGTTAGGAAAAGTTGGTTTCATGTTCTCTTTTCTGATATATATTAGTTGTGTGTGTGTGTGTGTGTGTGAGAGAGAGAGAGAGAGAGAGAGAGAGAGCTTCCTGACCAATACACATCAGTTATTTGTCATCTATAGTTTTAAAGATTTGCCCAAGGGTACTGAGAAGTTAAGTGACTTGGACAAAGTCACACAACTAATCAAGTCAGAGTCAAGACTTGAAGTCTGGTCTTTCTGAACCCAAAGCCAGCTCACTTCTTTGGAATATGACAAAAAGAGATATACAGAATTAATTTTTTTGTTGCTTTTAACATTTTGCTTGACTTTTTCAGACTTTTTTATGCTCTAAGTCTGATTTAAGACTTTAATAAGGGCTTTTGTTTGGTGATTTCATTTCTGCTCAAGAAAGAAGGAATCTGTTTCATTGGGTTTCCACCACCCCCTCTAGTCTCCCCTCACTAGTACCTTAAAAAACAGCTGAGAGCGGTGGCTAGGTGGCCCCAGTGGATAGAATACAGAGCCTGGAGTCAGGAGGACCTCAGTTCAAACCCAGCCTCAGACACTTACTAACTGTGTGACCCTGAGCAAGTCACTTGATCCCAATCTCCTCCAGAGAGAGAGAGAGAGAGAGAGAGAGAGAGAGAGAGGATATTTTTGTGGCTTTCAAAAAGATTTGTATTTTACCAAAGGACAGGTGCAGAAAAAATTCCATAAAATTAATTTTAAAGTTTTTCATGAATGAACCAGAACCATGAATAATTTTACATGTATTTTATATGATTATTTCTCGCTGTTATAACCATTAACACAGATAATCTGATCAGTTGTCAAAATCTAATATAACCCACAAAATTTAAAGATAAAAAGGTACTTTATCATTGTTATAATAATACCGCTATATACAGTAGGTCTGGCTATGTCCGTATATGGCAAATGGAGCTTTCAGAGTCAAATAAAATGGATCGTGCAGTTTGAATCTAAATTGAATTGTACCAATGAAACATTTGATTCAGCTGTATTGTTGACATTACTCTTTCTTAATGAGGTTTTTTTTTTTAAGTTCAATTGATTGATTGGTATTCATTCAAAGGATCTAAAACTGTCTTCCTACCGTGACCTTTCACCCCTGCTCTCCCAAGGAATTGGCTGGAATGTTGGCAGATGGCCAAAGTGTCCAGTCAACAAAGCAATCCCTAGAGAGTATAGTGAATCAGGGTGAATATTCCTGTTACCGAACTCTAAAGGAACCGGGATTGATATAGGAAATGAGCTTAATAGTTGTGGGACGGCAAAGGGGAGTGTTATAGGATGATATCTAGGACTGGGGCTAGCTGGCTAGCAACAACCTTATACACCCACACACACACACACACACACCCCCCCCACACACACACACATGCTATATAGTGAACTTTTCTGATACCACCGTATCATTGCCTAGGCAATATAATAATAGTGGTTAGTATTTATGTAACATTTTGGACTTTGCAAAGCATTTTACTTGTGTTATCTCATTTGATCTTTAACCCTAATCAACAAGCTTGTAAATTAGATGCATTATTCCTGTTATACAGGTAAGGAAACTGAGGTTAACTTGTCCAGGGTTACACAGTTAGTATAAGTCTGAAGCAGGATGTGAACTCAGGTGTTTCTGAATCCAAGCCCAATACTCTATACATTGAGCCACCCAGCTGTTGCCCCTGTCTCATGCAAGGCCTGAAGTTCTAGAGCTATCTCGTACCAAAAGACAAATCAAAACCTGTTGGCCTGTTTGACCTCTTCGAGTAGGGACCCTAAGGCATGGGAAGAACTGAGAATCTTATTTTAGTATAGGCTGAGGTCTTTCAGGACCAGATAACATGGGCCCAGGGCCATAGCAAAAATATCCAAACAGAACCAATAAAGGACAATAGTTAAAGGTAGGTAGGTAGATAGACAGATAGACAGACAGACAGACAGAGTGAGGGAGTGAGGTCACTCTTTGCTGGTCAATGGAAGCATAGCAGTGGGGTACCAGAACTGGGATAGGAAGAGCAATCTAAGCAAGGGTCAACAAGACTGGAAATAATCAGGGAGAAGGAAAGATGTGAAGTTGTTAAGAGATTTCCAAAACGTATCACATTCAATGAACTGAGATTCCCTGTGAGCTTTTAAAACTGGGCTCTGTGAAATTAATCCCAGCCCCCTATGGGAAACTCCAATTCACCTTGCACAGCCTCTGGAATGAGAGGCAACTGTGTTAGGAACAAAAGCAGGAATATCCACTCATTGGTGTAATAAGTTGTTTTCATGACACAAGATTTAAAAAAAAATCTCATTTAGGTCTCAAGAAACATTAAGTGGATATGATTAAGTACCAGGCTGAAACTGGGACACATGAAGGGCATCATCTATTGTGTGTCAGTCACTAAACATTTATTAAGTACCCGCTACATGCCAGGCACTGTACTAAGTACTGAGGATACAGAAAAAAAAGTAAAACACCATCCCTGCCCTCAAAGAAGCTCACAGTCTAACGGGACGATAACATGCAAAAAGCTATATACAAACAAGTCAAATGGAGAATGAGCTGAAGGTGTGAGGTGATGAGGGCCTGAGCTAGGTTGGTTGCAGTGTCAGAGGAGAGAAGGGGATGTATGTGGGAGATGTTACAAAGGTAAATAGTCAGGACTTGGTAACAGATGGTGGGTGAGAGAGGGTGAAGAGTGAAGAGTAAAGTATGACAACTAGGTTGTGAGTCTTGTTGACTGGGAGATTAGCATTGCCCTCAACAATAATAGGGGAAATTTGGAAGGAAGGAAGTTTTTAAGGGAAAATATAATAAGTTTAGTTTGAGACATGTTGAGTTTAAGATGTCTGTAGGACATCCACTTCAAGATGGCCAATAGGCAATTTGAGATGTGAGAATGGAAGTCTGTAGAGAGTTTAAGGCTGAATAAGTAAATTTGAGGATTTTCAGCATAGAGGTAGATGATAATTGAATCCATGGGAGCTGACTTGAGATCACTAAGTGAAATAGTATAGAGGGAGAAGAGAAAGGGTCCTAGGACAGAGCCCTATGGAACATTTTAGAGAGTATGACACAGACAAAGAACAAAGGAGATTGAGAATGGGAATTCAGATAGGTTTGAGGAGAACCAGGAGGAAAGAATATGGCCCCAAGAGTGTAATGAAAACCTAGACAAAAGAGATTATCAAGAAGAAAAGAGTGATCAACACAGTATCAAAAGCTGAAGAGAGGTCAAGAAGGATGAGTGTTGAGAAAAGGTCATTAAATTTGGCCATTAACAGAGCCCTAGTAATTTTGGAGAGAGAGGTTTCCATTGAAAGATGAAGTTGGAAGCCTGACTAAAGAGTTTAAGAAGAGAGTGAAAGAAAAGGAAGTGGGGCACCTACTGTAAAGAGTCTTCTCAGTCACAAAAGGAAGGAGAGATGTGGGGCAATACCTCGTGAGGATGGACAGATCAACTGAAACTGTTTGGAGTGGGAGGACATGTTTGTGTGCAGTGAGAGAGAAGAGATTGAAGATAAGTGAGAGAATAGAAACGATAGGGAAATCTGCTGAAGAAGAGACGATAGTGTGAGATCACTTATGTATTTAGTGGAGTTTGCCGTGGCAAGGGAAAGGGCAACCTCATCATGTGAAATGAGTGAAGGCAGAGATAGTGACAGAAAGCATCTATTAGTGTCCCCCAAACTCCTGCCTCATTACTTAGCTTTTTAATGTGCTCTGTCTCTATGTCTGGTGTCCCACTAGTACAAAATTCCTGCACATAGTAGTGGTGGAGAACAAGAGGGTTTTCATTTTAAATGAGGAAATCAGATTTCAATGAGGCATCTTCCAGACTGATGAGGGGATTTCAGTGGTGTTGTTTCTCCTTGCCTCTCTCTCCTTTTGCTCATAGAGAAAACTAAATGTGGTTTTTATCGAAGCATAGTAACACTTCACATTTTCTCTAAGGCTCCTCCCTTCCAAGAAGCTCATAGAATGTGCTGCTAATTCATCCCTTACAAATAGAGTATGACCATCATTAATTTTCACACATAATGCACTTCTTTTAACCTGTATCTCAACTAATTAGTATCCTGACAGCTTGAGACTTGCAATTTATTAATTAGGCCATTAAAGTTTCAAAGGCTATCACTATTGTACTATATGGGAGCTGGAATCAGTGAAGAAATTAGAGGGGCATCATGTGCACGTAGGCAGATAAACAATGAAATAAAACACACATTAAGATTAAGGGGGTTGTTTGAAGTCTCAAGAAAAGTCAATTTAATGGTGCA